TTTTTTTTTTTTTTTAAGTGAGATCTTTGCTCTTAAACATTTTAAAGAGGTCTTTTGCAGCCAGTTTGTGCAATGAAAAACATGAGCTAGTTTCTTGATGGCTGCTTCCATGGGCATTGATTATGGACCCAAGTAAAATAAAATCCCTGATACCTGCAGTCTTTTCTCTGTTTCTTGTGATATTGCTTATTGGTCCAGTTGTGAGGATTTTGTTTTCAAAAGGAAACAACATGAAGTTGAGGTATAATCCTTTCTGAAGGATGTAGTCTTTGATCTTCATCAGTAAGTGCTTCAAATTACCTTCACTTTTAGCAAGCAAAGTTGTGTCATCTGCATATGGTAGGTTGTAAATGAGTCTTCCTCCAATCCTGATGGCACATTCTTCTATATATAGTACAGCTTTTCAGATCATTTCCTTAGCATACAGATTGAGTCAGTATGGTGAAAGATACAACCCTGATGCACACCTTTCCTGATTTTAAACAATGCAGTATTCCCTTGTTCTGTTGAAACGACTCCCTCTTGATCTATGTACAGGTTCCTCATGAGCATAATTAAGTGTTCTGGAATTCCTGTTCTTCAGGAATTTGTCATGATGCACAGTCAAATGCCACTGCATAGTCAATAAAACGCAGGTAATTTTATTTGTGTGTGATATTAATGATATGGTTTTATAATTTCCACATTCTGTTGAACCACCTTTCTTTGGAATGGGCACAAATATAAATCTTTTTCAGTCACTTGGCCAAGTAACTATCTTCTAAATTTCCAGGCATAAATGAGTGAATGCTTCCAGTGTGGCATCTGTTGGTTGAAACATCTCGGTGGGTGTTCCATCAATTCCTGGAGCCTTGTTTTTCTTTAGTGCCTTCTATCCATCTTGAATACTTCCTTCAGCACCACTGGTTTTCGATCATATGCTGTCTCCTGAAATGACTGAATGTTTCGTAGTTCTTTTTGGTACAATAGCTGTGTGTTTTCCTTTCATCTTCTTTTGATGATTCTTGTATTGTTGAGTATTTTGCCAATAGCTTCTTTCAGGATTGCAGCTTGAGGCTTGAATATTTTCTTTGAATTCTTCTGCTTGAGACATGCTGAATGTGTTCTTCCTTTTTGTTTTCCAACTCCTGATCTTTGCTCATTTCATTATAATACTTTGTCTTCTCAAGTTGCCCTTTAAAATCTTCCGTTTAGCTATTTTATTTCATCATTTTCTTCCATTCCCTTTCGCAGGTCTCTGTTGCAAGAGCAAGTTTCAGGGTCTCTTCTGACATCCATTTTGGTCTTTTCTTCCTTTCTTGTCTTTTTAATGACCATTTGCTTCTTCATATACGACGTTCTTGCTGTCCCACCTCGTCTTTGCAATATTTCTGGTTGGAATGCTCATTAATATCACTTATGATGGGTACAGTGTTTTAAAATGTAATTACAGGTAATGAACTAAGCAAAATAAATATTAAACAAATTGAGTGACGTTGTGGTTGGAATGCTCATTAATATCACTTTTGATGGGTACAGTGTTTTAAAATGTAATTACAGATAATGAGCTAAGCAAAATAAATATTAAACAAATTGAGTGACGTTGTACTTGCGTTTATTTAGTTCCATTATATATAGATCTTAAAATGAGTCTGTTGACATTTAAAGTAGTGTTAGATCTGGCCAAGGGTAACTAATGTTATGTTAGTGAATGTGTCCCTTCTGGGTGAACCAAAGAGGTCATTGGGGTTGATTGTATGTATTTATGTGTTATAAGTCTGGAGGTAGGATATTAATATCTCTTTTTAAGTCCATTATTTTATATGTCAAGTATATACCATTTGTTAATACTTTTCTTTCTGAATGGTCTTTTTTTATAGGGAAATTTAACTTTTGTTTGGCTCATTTGGTTAGCCACACAGACTAAGTATTTGATCTCCCTCTTCTCTCTGAATTCACCAAGTCCTGGTTTTTTAAGTTAATATTCTGTGTTAAAGTAGTTTGTAATGCTAGGATAAATTATGTAATACCTTTGAATCTGAGTACTTATAAAAATGAGAATTGTTACATTACAGGCTTACGTTGAGTGTTAGATGTGGAAATGGATTTGAGTTCTTTACAAACTGCAGTATGCTATATAAACATAAAGTTATCTAAAATTAAGCTCATTTATTTGTAAATAGAGATTTTCATGGTTTATGTATCTTTTTTGTAGTGTATTGTAAGTAGAAAACCACCTAATATCTATTTATATAGATTCGTTATTGTGGTGAAAATTAGAATTTATATTCTTGTAACTATTAAATCTCTTCTGGACAAACTCCCAAGGAGGGGTCGCTATGAGTCGGGTCTGACTTGACCGCACATAACAACAACAACAACAGGCAAATGAAATGCTCTTCTAGGTGTACATCTTAACAGTGTTAGGCTATAGAAAATGAAATTAACACAACTCATCATGGTTTTTGGCTTTCGTAAGTATTGTTACTTTACTGATTTCATTTTATACTTCTTAGGTTACTGGAGTAGGTTATAATCAGTTTGGGGAAGTGATCGTTGATGGTGATGTTGTTCATGGATTCTATAACCCAGCTGTTAGCAGAATTGTGGAGGTACATATTTTCTTCTTCAGTGCCACTATTTTCTTCATAATGACTTAGGACCCAGTGATGATTCATAGATTGTTTATTTCTCATAGGCAGGCTGTGTGTGTAATGATGCTGTAATTAGAAACAACACTCTAATGGGGAAGCCAACAGAAGGAGCCTTAATTGCTCTTGCAATGAAGGTATGTTCTTGTGAAGTATATGATATCTCTTCTTTGACCTGTGAGATATTACCCTCAAAAGATGGTCCTAAGTCCTGCAGTTGATTTAATTATAAATCTAAAAAACTCTAATCTCTCAACTCCCATCAAAAAAAAAAAAAACTGTTCTGTTTTTAGAAGCAGTAATTGCTTAAAATGAGATCCAATATAGAATTGTAAGTTATACCATATTTAATTAAGTAAAATTAATTTGATCTTTATAATGTATTTCCTCAACAGAAAGCTGCATTTCTTTATCATTTGGACTCATTTTAACTAAAATACCATCCTGTCGCTTTTTTTTTTTTTTTTTTAAACTACCACTGAGCTGTGGAAAGGGTTGGGCAAGGATAAGTAAAGATGCCCCAAAGATTCCTTGCCAAGGAAATTCATTTTCCATTCACCAGCTCATACCTATTTTGTTTCATGACATTGATTGCAATACACATAATGTAATAGCTTTCTTCCCACTTCCTCCCTGTGGTTACCTTTTCCCTGTTTCCTTCTTTCCTGTGTGTTCCTGCTCTCTGAACTATCTCCCTGTGCAAATGCTGCCATCTGTTCTCCCATGGTTGATTACCTGCCTTGTGTAAATGTTCACCTTATATGCCTGTCCATTGTCTAGCTAGAAGCCATGGGAGTAAGTTCAGTTCCAGGCCTGAAGGGTGATTAGGGGCCATAGTCTCCAGAGTTTCACCAGTCTCTGTGAGACCAGTAAGCCTGGCCTTTTCTTTTTTTTTTTTTTTTTTTTATGATTTTGGGTTTTGTTCTCCATTTTTCTCCCACTCCATCCTCTTGTTGTTGTTGTTGTTATGTGCCATCAGTTGGACCTGACTCATAGCGACCCCTCCTTGGGTTTCCAAGGCAGTATCACTACGGAAGTAGGTTGCCTGATCTTCCTTCCGAGGAGTGGCTGGTGGGTCTCCTATTTGGTCCCTTTGGAGTGGTTCACAGTAGTAGCTGGGCACAATCTAGTTGTATTGAGTCTTGAGGTTATGTAGGTTAAGGTTTGCATGGTCTCCTAGTCCCTTGGACTAATTGTTTCCACACGTCTTTGATTTTCTTCATTGTTCTTTGCCACGGACAAGGAGGGAACAATTGTATCTAAAATGGGCACTTGCAAGCTTTTAAGACTCCAGTCACCACTCACCAAAGTAGGATCATCCTATAGCATTTTAAAAGACATTTAGAAGATGAACCAGTAAATATATCCTTTTTATGCATAACAGGATATTAGGTCCCTTAAGAAGTGAAGAGTGTAAAATTGCCTCTTTATTGGACTCAGGGACCTCGTAGGCTGCGTAGAATGGGTATCTGGAGGACTTTGAAATGCCAGGAAGCATCGGAACATGATTTGGTAGACAACATAAAGCAGTGAATTACAGGTTTTTCAGTAATTTTAGAGTATGTATTTTAGGCTATTTGGAAGAAGATGCAAAAGAGTTTGGGGAGGGATAGCACCTAGATTATAGAGTCTCAAGTGGTAGGGGATAAGGGACTAGGATGGTAGCCATATGTGAGGCAGATTTGAGTTCCTAAGAAGTGAAGGGTTGGATTTTAAACTTTTATTATTGATTATAGAAATACATGCTTAGAGTTGATCAGGCACCTTTATTTGTATCCTGACTTTTTCCAGAATTTGATTCAGAAGAGATACTAATATAGTCATTGTTGAAAGTTTGGCCTATATACAGTCCAGGTAACTTGCTGTTTCTTTGGCTTGGACTGTATTTACACACCCAGCTCTCTGTTTAAAAATGCATGCTGCTGTTCAAAGAAATACAGTGTGTATAGCTGGAACGTTACTATTATATCACCATTATTTGAAAAGTAAGTATCTCTATCCAGTCTAGCTAAGAATTAGGAATCTTGTTCTTTGTTAAAGGGAAAAAAAAGTCTTGTTGATAATTAACTTTTTTGTGTATGTCATATAGATGGGTCTTGATGGACTTCAAGAGGACTATATCAGAAAAGCTGAATATCCTTTTAGCTCTGAGCAAAAGTGGATGGCTGTTAAGTGTGTACACCGAACACAGCAGGTATCTTTCTGTTTAAAGAATGCTTATTATATCTTGTTCATCTTAGATGATTTTTCATTTATTATCCTACTTTTAGAATTAAATAGTCATTGAGTAGAAAAGAGATCTGTTGCTTTAAAGTATGTATAGTTAACAATCCCATTATCCTTTGCTATTCCTCATGTTCTATTTGATATTCACTCCTTATAGAATCCATACATAGATACATCCAGTTTTGCTGTATGAGCCAAAGTTCTTCACTCCAGTGAGTTAGATAGAGCCTCGTGTCAGTTACTTAGAGCTTATGATATCAGGTTCTCTCGAAATGTTTTTTAATCTTGATGATATTCATTGTAGGTCTCTGCTGACTGTATGTCCTCAACCAGTGTTCTTTTACTGAATAATGTCTTATCTGTAGAACAAACAAAACCACATTATTTTGTGGAAAAATGGTTCCAAATGTGTAACTCATGCTAATTGACCCAGTTTACTAATTGGCAAAATGACAGGCCTTTGATACTGCAGTCTCACTTTATTCTCAGGTGTTTAGGAGGTTTCTTACGTTAGTATAAAAAGAAGTTTCATTTATTTTCAGTGTGTAATTCTGTCACTCATAGTTGTTATTACCACTTGATACTAAAGATTACTTTGCCCTTAAAAGATACATATTTGATATCTTTACATTTCCTTTAATAAGGATAAATGATTGATTGTATTTTTACCTTAGAACAGACATTTTGAAACCAATTACACCTCTGTAGGCAAGGTTGAATGAGAGGACACCTCATTCATAATAAGTAGCAAATACTGGCTTTAAAAGAAAGATAAACTTGGCCGATACTATTGAACCTGTAAATAGAAGTTTGTCAGGAAACTGTTTGTGAGGTGGAAAAAATTTCAGTTTAAGCTTTCTAGAGGAACTTTTACAAACTTCTTGTAAGGGAAACAATAAAAAACAAAACTATAAAAATGAAATGTCTGTTATTTTAAACCTTGTAATGTAAGGCTTTCTTTCAAAAATTACCTTAGAGTTAGATAATTTTCAGCTGATGTTTCTTGACTATATAATAATATAGCAAGAATATATATAAGAGTTTATTTGGAGGATCTGTTTTAATACATTTTATAAACCATCACATGATATGCCAAAATAATGTGGTTCATGTGATGTTTAATGATACTGCTTTTCAGCAATTTTGACTCTAACCTCACCAGAGTTGCATTTAGAAGATAACAGTTGTGGGAGTGAGAAAGGAGAGGGTGGTAGGTAGCAGGGCATAACTTTGGAAATGTTTGTATGATTCTTCTTATTGGTTGGCCTGAAGAGAACCTCTTAAAAATCAAAGCAAACAAACAAAACCAAAACCATTGGTGTAACTCAGAATCTAGAAGAGGTCAGCCTGACACAGATAACAAAGTACAGCTATGGCAAATGTAAGAATTTGAAAATAACTGCAGTGGTTCAAATAGTCTGTTGTTAGAGGACTCTCTTAATGGTATGTATACATTGCTCTCTACTCTCACTGGAGTCCACCAAAATGGCAACCAGGTATAAAAGATACAAGCTCTTAAGGACGTAGTATGGAAAGGCTCAAGGCGGCGACAAAAATACAAAGCTAAAAACAGGAGGATAGGTTGACATTCCGAGTAAGGAACCGTTAGACCTCGCCCAAGAGCCCTTTGTAGCTCTTGAGACCAGGCTGTTTGTCCTCCTTCACCCATGTAGAATATCAGAGATTTTATCTTTTTTTTTTTTCCATACCTAAGCCAAACACTAAATGATGTTTTTTTTCTTTTTAATTTATTTTATTTCTTGTTGTTGAGAATATACATAGCAGAACATATATTAATTCAACAATTTCTACATGTATAATTCAGTGGCGTTGAATACATTCTTCAAGCTCTGAAACTTTTTTTTTTTTTTTTTAATTGTGATTTGGGTGATAGTTTGCAGAGCAAATTCACTTTCCATACAGCAGTTCACACTCATGTTGTGTCATAACATTGACTACAATTTACCCCAATGCAGCGGCTCCCTTCCCACTTCTTACTGGTAGTTGCCGCTTCCCTGTATCCACCCATCCACGCATTCCTGCCACCTGAGCTGTCTCCTTGTGCATAAACAGCCCTTCTTTCTCCCATGATTGTTCTCTCCAAGGACTGTATCTACCTCAGGTACATGTTTAACTCGTATGCCTGTCTTTTGTTTGGCTGGAAGCCACAGGTGTGGGTTCAATTCCAGATCTGAGGGCAGCTAGGGACCATAGTCTCAGTAATTCCACCAGGCTCTATCAGAGCAGAAAACCTGGTCCCTTCCCTTTTTTTTTTCCCAAATGATTTTGAATTTTGTTCCACATTGTTCTCCCTCTCTATACAGGATCTCATACATAGATCCCCCTCCAAGTGATTGACAGTAGTAGCCGAGCACCATCTAGTTCTTCTGGTCTCATAGTCGTATAGGCTAAGGATCGCATGGTGTACCAGTCGTGAGGAATAATTGTTTCCATAAATCTTTGGTTTTCTTCATTGTTCTTTGCTCTGGATGAGGAGAGATCTATCGTTGCATCTAGATGGCTACTTGCAAGTTAAGATCCCAGTCGCTACTTACCAAAGTAGGAGGTGGAACAATGTTTTGTGTAGTGTGTTAAGCCAATTGAGCTTGATGTCCCCTGTGACTGTGGTCCTGAGCCCAAAGGTTCAACTACTTGGTCCCTCTGGGTGGCTGTCTGTGATCAAGAAGTGACTACAACCTTGTCCCTTGTCAGCTCCACTATAACCCTGGGAATTCTTACAGAGCATACAAATACACTTGTAGAACCATTGTCTGCCAGCCCTGTACATCATCTTGGATACACTCCCTGCTGCATAGACATACCTAATAATTCAGCCTGTCCACCCATCTATCCACCCATATAACTGTGATTGCCTTCACGGGCAATGCAGTACTGTATGTGCAAAAGGGTTCATCTTTGTTATCTGTACCTCCCATGTATCTCTCTATGTCTTCATCTTCCTCAATGCCAACATGTTGATCACTCACATTTGGTACATGGCCCTTCTCTTCACCCAAATCAATACTTCTCTCTACCTGTCTAAGAGTGTTCCCTCCCTTCCCCTCTCACCCCTGGTAACCAACAAAGAAAATTTCCTTCCATATGTAAACTTCTCCTTGACTTTTACGATAACAGACTAATATAATAATTGTCCTTCTGTGACTGACTTCTTTCGTTCAGCATAATGTCCTCCAAGTTGATCCATGTTA